GTGCACTAAAATAATAACCTGAACGACCATGGTTCAGGACCACATGAGAATAGTAAAGTGAGCAGTGGAGGGGAACAGCTTATATGAGAAAAGACCGGGGAACAGTGATGTGCAGCCCCACCAAGTCACCTTGGGACCATCTGAGCTCAGCTGGCTATGGGCCAGCTCCTATGTCAGGGAGGTTTGGTGAGGGCTGGGTGTGCGCTGTTCTGATGAACCAATCAATGCCAGTGCCTTCAGTTTCCATCTGCTGGTGCTGGGGAGTCTCAGTGGCTCTTCAGGAGCCAATCCTTGTCTTTACAGCCCATGACCCCAGCCAGGTCCAAGGTGCCCCTGGATTACGAGGCAATGCCAACTCCTCCTTGTATCTGATTCTGCCTCCAGACCCATTCGCCATGTGTGTAACAGTTGGAGGAGTTGTTTGATCGTTTCCCAGCTCTTTTGCTTTGGAACTGTCATAGAGACAGGAGCTGCTGCTGCCACCATACCCACAGATAAATATATTCACTGCTTTGAGTGGCTTGTATGCACCAGTTTGAACATTCGTGGGCTAATGGTAGTACTGCATGATAGTTTGATTAAGACAATAAGTCTGAGTAATCAAGAAAACACGATACGATTTGGCCTAGAGGAGAAGCAGCACCATTTTTGAGGCTCTTGGCATAGAGCTGCACTTCCTGAGGGCAGGATGAGCTAGATCCATAAGCAGTCCAGGATCATAAAGATGATAAACATTTTGGGATGATTACATGCTGGATTAGAGATCACTTGGCTGGCTTTATCTTGATGTCCAGCTGCCCACACTGGTACTTCAGGTAAGTAGTAAAGGTGTCATTTACACTGATAAACTGCAATAGGCTTACTTCACTGGTGTCTCTGCCCATGGCAGGGAGTTGAAAGCAGATGATCTTTAAGGTCCTTTCCAGCCCAAACTGTTCTGTGGTTCTGTTTATAGAATAACACTTTGTACATGTGCTTATGTTATAAATAGGGTTTGTATGCCAACTTCTAGAAAAAAGTGCACTCATGTTAACTGTTAGTGCTGAGGTATGACAGGCGGTGTGCTCTTAGGCAAGAAGAAGTTGTTTTTCGAAATAAAACACACATAATTTTAAAGGTAAAGTATTGCAGCTGTAGTTCTGTGAGGTGTTCCTGTGACATCTGCTGAAAGGTCTGGAGGCTTTTATGTGAAGGTGTGTTTGCAGTGGATGAGTCAGAAAAGCTAACCTGAGTCCAAACTGTTCAAATGATGTGAGAATTTGCCAAAGTGTTAGTCATCGATTACTAAGGAAGTAATTTAGAACTCTTTTTACTGCTCTCTTTAGGTAACATTTCAATAATCACATTGCCAGTTTCCAGCACCAACTCTCCAACGAAGATTTTGCCAAAAACCTTAGGACCGATCAATGTGAATGTTGGACCCCAAATGGTAAGTTCTAACTTGTGTAACAAGCCACATGCCTTCCTGCTAGTGTAAAATGGAAACATCAAAAGCAAAGATGTGAGTAGTGCTAAGAACATGCTGCTTCCTGCCTCAGCTGCAAAGGCTGCTCAGGTGCCCCGCCTGGGTGGAGAGGTGATGATGTGTGGGTATTGCCACTGGCAGCAGCCATCCTGCATATGTGACCCTGGGGGGTACCTGTCCTCCTGGCTTTGAATGGACATGAATACACTTCACCAGCTGCTGTTTTAACTCAGAAGTGTGGTAAGAAAAAAAAAAAAAAGACCAAAAAATCCCATTAAGAATTTTATTGAAACTCTTTGACTATTGTGAGTCATGTTCTCACCACTGGATCTCCAGCAGCACCAAGCAGTAAATGTCTTGAGTGTGACACTGGAGATATAACTTATTTAAGCTCCTCTTGTTAAAACTGTCTTTTCCTGTCAGTGATAACCGTGTGTGTGTGTTGCCAGTCTGGCTTTGAGAAAAAAATCGGGTGTTCTGGTGGCCAGAGAACTAATTAGGTGATGTCAATACAGGGAACCCTTTTCTAGTAACCTGCTTGCCAGGCACTTATCCTGACTGCAGTTACCATTTGATGAGTTTTATAAACAGTTGTGTTGGGTGTTTTTCACATCACTCACTGTTCTTCAGCGTCCCCAGTTGAATAGAGGGGCACAGGCGTTGCAGGAGCCCCTGTGCTGTGTTCTCCATGGTGCAGAGCTCTACAGCTGCAGTACTACCCACAGGGTGTCTGCCAGGGAGCGGTCCTCTTCAGTGCCTCAATACCTGGTACATGTCCTGTTGGAGCACATGCCCCGTGCCCTGTGGCATTTCACTGGTGTAGTTCTGCTACAGAAGCTGTATTTTGGGAGTTTGTATTTTTATAATATTTAATTTATTATTATTATTTTACTCTGCTGCTTTGCAAGGACAGAACTCTATTCAGAAAAGATTTTTTTATTAAATAGCCATTTACGCAGGCCTTGTAAAACATCAGTGGAGAGCTGTGTGTGTTGTCTGCTAGACCATTAAAAGAGAATGTTTGCAAGTTCATAACAGAGGGAATGTCAGCACTCCTTTGCTCTTGCCTGCCTTAGCAATACCCTGCTGCTGCAAGGGGGTTCTAGTGTTATTTAGCTACTGCAGGCTTCAGCCCTTCGGGCACTCTAGGCCCTCCAGGCCAGCACACAGCCCCAGGGGCAGTGGAGGGGGCTGTTGGCTGCATGGTGACCATGAATCCCCTGGGGCATGGCTGGGCAAACAGTGGAATCAGCACAATCTGCAGGCTGGATTCTTCTGTATGAGAGTTTGTTATAGCGTCTTTAGATTTGGTCTGTGGGCATAAATACAATGGCATGTTACTGATAAAATGTGTTTAATTACAGGAATTTAACACATCCTACAGGTGCTCTGTTTGATAAATCAGGGTGAGGTCTTCTGTTTTGTTTTATGCTATGCAGTGAATACCTGTGGCTGTAACAGGTAGCTCTGGGCTGGATTTTTTTTTTGTTGGGAAAGGGGTGACAGCCATGGGGGGGGACTGCTGCTGCCGGGGTCCCTCAACACTAGATGGCACCAAGGGACAGGGGACATAGTTGGTCCCATTGTGATTTGCTACCTCTGTTACAGTGCTCACCCGAAAATGAAGAGGCTGGATATAAAATACTCCTTTACAATACGTTTGATCTGTGATTTACAAGGCATCAGTAGAGCAATCTGAAACTTCAGAGAGGGTGGAATGTGATGAAATGCATTTCAGTGTGCAAAATAGTTAACATCTCTGTGTCACGTGTCTGCAGTTTGCTGCAGAACTATACGCTCACTGTAAATAGACGTGCTTTTAGTGCTGCAAGAAACTGGTGTAAAAAGTTAATGGACTAGACCGATGTTTAATAGAAATGTTGTATTACTGACTCTCACGTCCTTGTGTTACACCAGTGCTGAGCCTAAGCAAGCTTTCCCAAATTAATCATTCAGTCGAAAACTGTGTGTAAAGCAGCCAGCCTGGGATATTCTGCTCTCCACTATCAGCCACTAAATATCTAACTCATACCTGTGTGGTGGTTTCCCTGAATTTCTGGTTTCACTTGTTTTTGTCAAGCTATTCACTTGCAAAAATAAGTAAGGTCATTTTAAGTCTTTAAGACAAAAAATACATATATGTAATTACAATGTAGTGCTGAGACGGATGTGAAGTAATGCGCCATGAGCTAAGGAAATGCAAAATTCTTCAGATAACATTTTTTGTACTTGTTTAAACAATACTGATGGACACCAAAGTATCTGCTGTGTGCTTATATGGGTATTGAGTAAGTTAAGTAGTAAAGGAAACTACAGAGTTTAATACAGTCAGTACTCAAAATGTCACTTACAAACGGAGTACAGTAAAGTTTTAAAAAGTGAAATAAGGCATATGAGTAAAAAGTATTGTCTAGGCAGCTTTGGTATGAATTTACCATACTGGAATAAAAATAATTTACCATGTATTTTCCTTTAAAGTTTAACAAATTAATACTGTTCTGGTTTTATGTACTGTCTGAATTCTTCTGGTGACCTACGTTAAAGAATGAATTAGATGAGATTTAAGAGTTGTGACCAAGTGTCTTAGTGTTAACAAACACTGTACAATTTCTCCAGGTTTGACTACATGTAAGTTCAGTCCATGCTTTATAGACTTTACACGTCATTCCAGAGGTACAGTGTTGTGTTATTAGTTTGCTGGAATGCCTTGAGATCTCGTGAATGCTGGAAACTGCTGGGAATGCTTTGCCTGCAGCTCAGGTTGTCTCCGGTACAAAAGGCAAATAATTATAAGAGGCAAAGGAAAGGAAGTTTTATTGATTGCAGCGATCAAGAAATTGCCTGGGAGTACTTTTGAGGAAACGGTTAGATGTGCATGGGCATAGATCTTATCTGCCAGAACTTGTTTAGTTCTTGTCTAGATGAGTAATACAGTAATATGGTGCAATTAGTAGAAATCTTAACAGCATTGTGATTACCTTCATGTATGAAGAGCTGCTTATGACATTTCTTCTGTATGTTTTGATTGCTGCTTGCATCTGGTACAGAAGTTGTTGGGGTTTTGTTGTTTTTTTTGGTGGTTTTCCCCTTAGCGAGGCTCTGGGGCTCTGGTAAACTCTGCCTTCTTAAGAGAGCTGTGTTTTTATTTCTAAATTTCACAGATCATAAGCACATCACAAAGACTAACGAATTCGGGGAGTGTTCTCATTGGGAGTCCATATAACCCAGCTCCAGCAATGGTTACACAGGCACACATAACAGAAGCTTCTGGCTGGGTCCCAGGGTAAGATTTTTGTTTTATTAAAAGGTGTTCGAGGATCTGTTCTCATCTTTTCCTTTATTTATACTGTTGTGTCTATATGTGGCATCAAACCTTCTGGTTCCTGCACAACTATAAAGGAGTATGCTCTTCAGTCTGTTATGCACTTTTGATGTCTGGAGCACATGAGCATGGAAGTGCAAGCACTGGTCACTTCACAGTCTGCTTAATTTTTTTTCCATGGCAGCATATGAGAAAGAGTCACAAATTCATGAGTCCTGTTAAAACAAGCCTTTTTTTTTTTTTTTATTAATTCATGGTATATCCAAATAGCTTTGCTACTGAACATATTGGAGGGTGCCAACAGAGGGAGAGACACTCAGAAACATTTTCAAAGGTGTTTAAGACCTAACTCTAATGGAAAATGTTGAATGTAATCAGTGTTGTACTTCTACTACTATTTTACAGTAGCAACAAGTTTTCATGGGGTTCTGAGATACTCCATAGTAACATGACTGTCTTTATCTCCTCTAAGGAAATCTGGTCTTACAGTATTTCATGGTTTGGTTTTTCTTTCAATACCAGTACTGCTGAGCATTTCTGTCTCAAGACAGATGTAGTGCTTTGTCTCTGAAAATTAAACATTTATTTCTGCATTTTGGTTAACTTCTGTAATCAGTCATGAGTGTCAATGGTACCTTTCCAGCCCCAGAGGTGGCAAAATGGAGTATCTAAGAAACAGCTGAAGGGGAGAGTACAGTAGTTGTACCTTGACTTTCTTTATTCTGTGCTGTAAGCAAGGAGTGTCCTAGGCTTGTACTTCCCAGTCAGTGTATCCTGAGCACCAAATCGTTAAACTGCATGCCCAGCTGGGATGTCTTTAAGTTAGGATTTTTTTTTCCCTGAGTATGTGTTTATTTCCATAAATCCCTTTTAAATCTCTTAGTTCTGATTTTATTTGGAAAAGTTTTCAAAGATTACTTTGTTCCACCAAATTTTGGGACATGTGGAGGCCAGACAGAAGTTGGTTCAGTCCCCAGAGGAGGGGAAAAGCAGCAGTGTTTGTTCACAGCTGCTAAACCAAAGACTCAACACTCATTAGCTTTCTTAAGCTTCATCAAAACCTGGTGATGGAGATTACCAGAGGGAAGCCTATTGCAGTGTGTCAACCACCACCACCAAGGAAGAGCACCATCCTTTCATTCATATCCTGTAAAAATCCACAGTATTTCCAATGAGCCTAACTATTGTTTCACCCATAAAAAGGAGCAAGATGTTCTCTCCAGACTGGCTGATCAGTATTGATCTCTGCAGAAGTCCATACAACAGGTCATATTTTCATCTGAAAATCAGAGTTGAGGAAGGCTCTGTGGTACTGCCAAGCCTAAGAGGTGACCCCTTGCTGAAGACAGTTCCAGAGGACCACAAACCCAGGCTCCTTGCTTTACCCATTGTTTGCTCCTCTTCACAGATTCCAAGTTGTTTCCTAAATCAAATAAGACAAGAGCATGTTCACTCTCAGGGCTCCATACTACCTTCAGCAGCCTGGCTTACAGTCCTGGGGCAGTTCTCCTTTCATTTACTGCCAGTCCAGGTCCCTGTTGTGCACAGGAACACAGCAGCCCCTGCGCCAACTGCAGCCAGCCCAAACCACATGGCCTGTGACGTTAAGCACCATGGACAGGGGTTGCCACAGACACAGATCCTGCAGTGCTGAGGAAGACATCTATTGGTGGGTTCTGGGTTGTGCAACCAGCACATGAGGCTTTCATGGCATGGAGCTTCAAATCCACAATTTTTGTTCAGCTCCGTTTTTTAGCATTGCCAGGTTTTAGCTGCGAAAGTATCTGCTGTGAGCCCTGGTTTTGAAATGGTAAGGTAACAATGTGAAGTAATACACCGCGAGCTCTTCAGCACTGTGTGCACTGTATCACCTGCAAGAATAAAAGACAAGTTTGGAATATACCTTCTGCAGTCTGCTTGCTGTAGCTAATGAACAGAACTACTAAGGAAACTGGCAGTGACCAGTGACTGTTGCTCCTGTGCAGAACTCAGCTACTTCCTCAGCATATCACTTTCAGCTCTGTATGCATCAGCTCTAATATGAACTGCTTAGTATTTTACCTTGTTTTTTGTTTAAAGATACCAAAACATTTAGTGTCCTGGAAATACAGGATAGAGTTGTGCAATGTTTAAATGCATTTTTCTTCCAGAGGGAGAAATTTTAAATAGGAATTTTCAAAGGAGCCCAGCTTCTCCTTTTTGAAGAGATTTGGTTATCTATCTATCTAGCTCCCACCAGCGCTTCCTATGGTTTCTGATGCAATAAGTTCCCTAAAATTATACAGGCAAAGCATGGTAAAATTGGGATTAGAAGTTCTATGGCAGTGATCTTAGAAAAACTCCAAAGTCCTGACCACCTCCCCTCACTTTTTGTATGCTATTCTCCCCTTTTCAGTAACAAATAAGAATAAACATTAGGGCCCAAATATGTTCATTTTATTGGTTGAAATGTATAATGTGATTTTAATCTTAATTTTGAATTGTCTTTGCCTAGGGACAGAAAGCGGACCCAAGAATTTATAGAGTCCGATTTTTCGGAAAGGTGAGTTTTCTCAAACATGTATTTGATGCATACAGTTGAGACTTTCTTTTGCTTCTTCAGATCTGCTCTGCAGAGATGGGAGTCATGTTCCCACTTCCACCTAAAAGCTCTGTGGTATGTTATTCCTTGTAGTTATAATTCATTACTCTTTGCTTTCTATTTTAAGCACAAACATGAGTTGCCTGTAAGTCTGGCTTCAAACACTTAAACATCTTGTAATGTTTTCCCCATTTTTTGGTTGTTCTTTTGTGAAACTACCTGGAGATGAATTACAAATGTAGTTTTCTAAGCATCAGCCCAGCAGCATGTGTTCAAGCACTATCCATGTAGCAATGGCTGAGAAAGGGGAAAGGATTCCAGTGCACTTTTTTTTTGCCAATATGAAAGAAACAAGAATCTGATTCAAAAAAGCAGAACATCTTTATTTTTCATTTAGGTAGTACATGATGTCATCAGTCCTGATTCCTGTTGGAAAAAGTGGCCTTTTGCTGTGTTACAAAGTAGCTTACTAAGACGTGATGTATTAAAACTTTTTTTTTTTTTCCTTCCAGTAAGAGAAGCAAAAAAGGAGATAAAAATGGGAAGGGTCTGAGGCATTTTTCAATGAAAGTATGTGAAAAAGTTCAACGTAAAGGAACAACTTCGTACAATGAAGTTGCTGATGAACTGGTACTGGAATTCACAAACTCTAACAGCCACCTAGCCACAGACTCGGTAAGCAAATACATTTGGAAATGTGTTACACCATCAAAAAACTGGCTGGTTTATCATGGAATTGCGCGTCTTCTGTTTCTGCACTGTCCTGCCACACCAGATATCTTCCTTCATTACTTAACTACTTCCCAAATATAAAGACTTTACCCTCTGAAATTTAAAAATACAGAATTAAAATCAAGAATTGACATCCCTCTAGATTTCTAAGATTTCCCTCTTAGATTTCTCTAAGCAAATTAGAGAAGTATGTCAAAGTAGTTAGGCTTCTCAACTGGAACAGACTTACCAAGGTGTGAATCTGCTGCATAGAGGCTTCAAGCAGGCCTGAGGCTTCCGTCTGCAACCAGAGAGCTCACGTGGTACCCAAGTAGTAGCACCGATAAAGGCATCATGTTTTAATACCCCTCTGAACTGCCATTCCAGCTTTTTATCTTCTGTGTATCTCTAAAGGATATGTTCCATATCTTTTTCCTTTTTGAATTTTTATTGTACTTAATTCTGTATTGTTTTCTTAGCAGGCTTATGATCAGAAAAACATTAGGCGGAGAGTTTATGATGCCCTTAATGTCCTGATGGCAATGAACATAATTTCAAAAGAGAAGAAGGAAATCAGATGGATTGGCCTTCCCACAAACTCGGCTCAGGAATGTCAGAATCTAGAGGTAAGGTGAGGTACATGGGAAATTTTGCATAGGTCAAAGGTTGTGATAATGGAGGTGCTTGACTTTAGAAGAGGGTTTTTTTTCCCTCAGTTTGAACCAGATTGGTTTTCATTCTTGAACACTATGAAAATACCTCCTTTGATATTTGAATAAACTGAAAGGATATGTTTATGTATGCTTAGTGCAGTTTTGTGTAGTATACAACATGAAGTTTGGGGAAAAACCCCACCTGTTTACCTTACAAAAATCAGGGAATACTTTTAAGATTAAAGTAGCCAGAATTAACCAGCAGAAAAGTCGCAAGAATATATGGTGTGGCTATGCTTAGAAAATGGTATATATTTAAAAGGAGACCAATTTTATATTCCTGTCTGTACTTGGAAATGCCAATCGCAGGAAATGAAGCTGAAAAGTAATTCCTGCTAGGATGTTAAATGCTACTTAAAAACTGACAGGGAAAAAAAAGGAAGTTTTACTTATTGGTGGTTTCCATTATTTCTCCAGCAGGCTGTGAGTTACTGTGTTTTTTGTAAGGATGCCAGAATTCATATGCACAAATGTTGCTTGTCCTTCAGGCCAAATGCTCTATAAATAAAAATCACAAGTTACTGTATTTACTGCATACTGCTGCACTGATTGTAAATACATCTTAATGTGTATTGTATTTGTGATACTTGTGGCATCATATACCTTAAAAGGTGGGTGGGATGCCTCTGCAGTACAGAACAATTATTTTTGTGCAAGTTAATTTACATCAAGTGTCATTCTAGATGTGGTACCAAAGAAGCTTTTACTGTCTGTCCATTGCAGCAACCTGGAAAATACATCCACCCAGCAAGTAGGCAGATGCTCAACCATTTTTCTTCAGGATACTATTTTTTAAAGAGCTACAGCTAAATGTACATTTTCATATTCATTCCAGTGAATGCATTATTTTAAATATAGGTTGTTGTTACACATCTGGAACTTGAATTTCATTGTCTCATCAACCATGATCTTACGCTTTTCACCGTTTCAGGCTCCAATTACAAATGCACAAAATGGAAGCCAGGCGTAGTTTTTTAAAATGTTGCTTCCTATGGCATAACTGAAAAAAATAGAAAATAAAGCTGCATTTGCATGGTGTGAAAACCTGAATTCATTTTCCTCTTTAAAGCTGTGTAAAGTGCGAACTCTTTTTCATGTGTTCTTACATAATAAGACTACCAGTACAAAAATGAGAAACCAGTACAAAAAAGCCTGTTATACAGAAACCATGTCTAAATTAGAATCTGTACTGTGTATTGGTTTTGAGAGTTACATGTTTGTCCCAGCAAAGAAAGTCATCTACTGTGCTCTGAAGGAAACTTTAAGGAGGGGGTGGGGGTCCACAAAGCACCACTGTAAATAAAATAGAAGAGTTTAGTTTTGAAGACTGCATCGTTTACTAGGGTTGCCCCAGGACACTATTTAAAGTGTCCTTAGTTGTCTCTGCAGTGTCAGTAGTCATTGGTGCCATTGCTGTCCCAAACACTGCATATTTAGGTTGAATACACCTTTGCCCCTCAAACTAGCATTAAAAGAACTCTTGCAAGAAGTGAAACCTGTGCTCATGTAGATAATGTTACCTCCACCCCTTTTTGTTGCTGAAATCTTGTTAGTTTACGCAAGTCTCAAATAAGTAGTCCAAACAAAAAGTGAAGTTCTCTGGAGAGATGCAGGTGATGATCCTGAGCACAGCCTCCACACGTTTATATCTAGTAGCTTACAGCCAGAACAACAGTGGAAGGGATGTGCACAATTCCAAAAGAGTGGGGGGCAGGATTGAAAAAAAGGAACCAACCAACTAATCCCAAAGCACCCTTTCCTCAAGCATTTAGTTTGGTACTAACTGGCATTCAGTGCACAATACAAAAGAGGAAGAATGGGAAGGACACCAGTTTATCTATTGACCTGTTCCATGGAGAAACTCCTGTGGCTGTACAATTAGTCTGTTTTGAAAAATAACACAATATATGGCAAATGGGTAGGCCTGAAAAGACTTCTGCAGTTCACTTACTGTGCCCTGGAATCCACCACCATTTTTAAAGAAAGTGTGTATTTCTGTAAGGTGCAGCTGTAAAGCCTCTTCAGTTTGGCACACTGGAACAAACAAGGTAACCAAGTAAATATCTTGATGCATTTATATTTTAAGATAGAAAAACAGAAGCGGATTGAAAGGATAAAACAGAAGCGAGCCCAACTACAAGAACTGCTGCTGCAGGTATACTTAATTATTTTTTCTGTAAATGAAATCACCAAGTTCTGATCTGACATATTAGAACTTCTGAAGTTCCTCCTAGATTTATTTAACAGCTATGATGTACTGTGGAGAAAAGTTTCATGCTGTGACCTTCCTGGCTTCTAGTAGGGGTACCTCTCAACTTCACTCTCTGGTCTATGTTTTACTAGAGTGAACAGGCATGCTGCTGCAGCTGTGTGCTACAAGTGTTTTCTTAGTATTCTGAAGGTCTGTCACCATTAGTGGGAATGGGAACACCTTGCAACTGCTTCCACTGACTCAGAGTCATCCCCGTCCCCCCCACAGAGTTTGCTTCTTGGAGTAGTTCTTGCAGAAAATTTCTCTCTGATTCTAAGCAACAAAATTTATGACACAACAATGTGTGTAACAAGTAGAGAGTTGTTTTGGAGGAGACAGACGGACACTTCTGGATCTTTAGAGTGAGAAATCCAACTCTTACCTTCTGACATCCACCTTTGAGATGACTTAGATTTTGGCTTTGCAGAAATTTATTTCAAATGCATCTTTGCTTATAAAGTGAAATTTTCTAAATAGCTAGAAGCATTCTGAAGAGTTTTGGTCTTTGAAGACTTTCTGTAATTTAATGCATTTGGGCTTTTTAATGAGGCTTTGGGCAATAAGGCTATTTTTTTTTTCCTGGTGCAACTATATGGATAAAATTTTCATATAATTAGCTATATACTGAAACTTTTAAATATCTAATGCTTCTTGTTTCGTCACCAAAAACTGTTTCTCTACTTAGGGTACAATTCTATCTGTCTGATCTAATAAATTAGCAGCTTCTATAACAGTAACATGAAATTGTCCTGGTGACAGTAAGGCAACTCAGGCCCTCTTAACTATTAGTCGGCCCTCTTAACTATTAGTCTGAAAATTACAGAGTTGGACTCCTTTACTGTCTACAACTGTCACTATTTCCTTGATTATGTTCATTGTCAAATGGTTTACAAGTGCTTTGGGATTCTGTCTGTCCATCTTCCCCTTAAGTGAACTAAGTAGTGCCTCAAACTGGGTAAGCACACTGACTTCCAGTCCCTCAAATAATGTCTCCCAAACCTACACATTTTCATACATATGCAGTCAGAGATAATAGCAAGGGAGCTGTGTCATGAACAGCACCTGTTTAAAAACTTTTAGAGGAGAATTTCAAAACCAGTTTTTCTGAGAGAGAAAAGAGGGAGATGGATGAGAAGGCAAGGAGAATACAGGTTCTGGGAAGTGGGAAATGTTGGCATTTCTGGTAATTATTTTTTCAGTGTAAGAAGCTCCCAATGTGAGGTGGTTGTGCATATAATGTAACAGTGCCTGCAGTGCCTTTTTGAAAGGAATGGGGAACTGTTCTTCATCAAGCTTTATTTTATTGCTCCTGTCTTGTTTCTTCTCTGGGGACTGTGAGGGGGGCATAGCCATTAGGAGTTGGGTGAGAAGCTAATGTTTAACTTCTGTTCCTGCTAAGCCACTCTAGTGCAGAGAGGGAGTCAGGCTACAACTTACCTTTTGACAGAAAATTCCTGGAGCTGTTGGGAGTTTGTAAATAACAGCTTGTGAAGTTCCACACTGATGTCTTCTATTTTTTTGTCAGTGATCGTTTTCTCTTTCTTTTTACAGCAAATAGCATTCAAAAACTTGGTGCAAAGAAATCAGCAAAATGAACAACGAAATCAAGGCCCTCCAGCTTTGAACTCCACAATACAGCTGCCTTTCTTAATAGTCAACACTAGCAAAAGAACAGTTATAGACTGCAGCATATCAAGTGATAAGTGAGTGTTTACTGAATCAATTTTTAGAACTGTATTTTCTTTGTGAATAGAATTTTTATTAGAACAAATCAGAGAACTTCTCTAGTTTACTAGAAGTGAATTAAACACGCTATTGTCACTTCAGGGGGGTGTTTTCTTTTAGCTTCTTGTTTTGTTTTGGTTTGTTTATATATGTGTATATATATCATACAATATATAATGTAATATATTAGGTATATCATTACCTAATGTAATGTATAGGTAATATATAAATATAATAAGTCAATATATTGATAAATAATCTAAGTACTAAATACTAATATAATGAATATTACATTAAAATACTAATGAAAATTAAAAAGATATTAAATTCTATAATGTATAATATGTGATATATATTATAGAATCTAGTATAATAGATATATCACACATTATAATATATAGTTTTCATTGGTATCAAATTAATATATATGCAACAAATTATATTTTATTATCATTATATTCTATTATTATAGAATATTACCATATTATAGCATAAAATTATTATGTGTGATATAATATATATGATAAAATATATATAACATATAGTATGTATTAATGTATGTATTGGGGTGGTGAGGCACTGGAATAGGTTGCCCAGGGAGGTTGTGAGTGCTCCATCCCTGGCAGTGTTCCAGACCAGGCTGGACTAGGCCTTGGGTGATATGGCTTAATGTGAGGTGTCCCTGCCCATGGCAGGGGGGTTGGAAATTGATGATCTTAAGGTCCTTTCCAACCCTAACTATTCTATGATTCTATGTAAATAACTATAAACATATGATTGTATTAATATATTCGATATATTGAAATATGACATAATATATACTGTATAATATATAATTTATAGTAAGTAATTATAATTTTATTTAAAACAGTTATATATTCTAATCTCTCTATATTAAAGATATTAATATAGCAATAGATGCAGATATATTGATATATAATATTGTATATTATGTGTAATTATGTAACTTTACATATATAAGATTCATTATAGTATGTCTATAGCATAACGTTATGATACATATATTCTCCCTATAACAAACATATATATATGCTTGTTATATATAAACATGTATAACATTTTATATATGTTTATAACATATATAGAATATATATTCTATTCCAGTATAGTTTATGCTATAATATATATTTACATAATATCTACTATGGTATTACATTATGTTTTAAATATTATTCCATATTATTTACTCAGTATTTATAATATCTAATGTTAATATATAAGCATAGAAAACATAATTTTATACATAACATAATATAATTATGTATATATTATATATATTATACATATACTGTACAATCCTATATACATAATATAAATCATATATGACAGATAATATAACACAAATATATATTATGTTATATAATGTAATATAAAAGCTATACTATATAGGATATTATTTACTAAGTATTTATAATATCTAATGTTAATATATAAGCATAGAAAACATAATAAATCTAATATATGATATATCAATTATTAGCTATTATACAATATATATCTATTAAATATATCTATATATAATATTTAATATATATTAATATATATCTATAATATAATATGGAATAATATTGAAATATAATGTAATATATAATAGCTACATAAACATGAGACAGATACCAGTAAATATTAATAGAAATATTTAATTTTTATATTAATAAATTTGTAATGTGTATACTATATAACATATTCTTTAGTAATACATAGTATATAAATATATTGATATCTATTGATATCAATAAATTATGTAATATATACTATATATTAATGAATATATTATGTAGTGACTTATAGTAATATATATTGAAATATGTATTATATATAATTATATATCATATAAATAGTATTATATACCTTACACATATACTAGATAGACACACATATATACATATTTTATATATACCTAAAACCAAACCAAAACCAACAAAAAAAACCTAAACAAAACACCTCCCTGAAGTGACAATAGCTAATTTGAATTACTTCTAGTAAACTATATGTATAAAAAATGCAGTACGTTTATCAACATTGCCTTACAGCCACTAGTTAGAACAGGCTGACTTTCACTGTTTCTAAAAGGCACTTAAGACTGACACTTCAAAACGCATTCACTACACAGGAATAACTGAATCAAATTCTATGCTAGGATAGCACCAGTATGTGTTAGTGCTTCTGAGTTCATATTTCTAATGTGCCGCAAATGTATTTAGTCAGAAACAGAAGGTGGTCCATGTAACACAAAAATAAAAGCCTAGAGGTGATAGTAATAACTTTGAATGTGTCTTTTAATAGCAGAAAGGTGTAGGTGACCCTTTGAAGGGGAAAAAAAAGGAAGGATATAATACAGAAATTTTAAATACTGCCTTTGTAAGCAAATTGATAAAGTTGCACTAATTCATCTGAAAATCTTTCACTTACATACTTCTGGCTGCTTATCCTCTTCATCCCATGAAAATATAGCTGGAAGTATGAGGTACTGTTATGCTAACTTTTAATCAGATCACAGTTTATTAGCTGAAAACAGCTGGCTCTGCCTCAGTACTGAAGATTACAGACTTCACTTGGTGCTATTCAAATCCCTTATTGAACTTGAATTTCATTAACATGGCAAAATAGATAGTCTCTAGTAACCTAACTACCAATGTGCAAAAGCAATATTATTAAAAGTTGAATTTTTGTAGAAAATTTGGCTGAAGTCCAGTATATTCTGTAACAAAACTTTAGGAATACTTCAGTTTATGCTGTATTTCAGCAAGTTGGGAATTTTAGATTCTACATTGGTTTAGCTTGACTGTACCCTTATTTTATTAGCATACTATGCAGTTCTCACTGCACTTTAAACAGTGCTTTCCATTTAGGTTTGAGTTCATTTAAAAGTTCAATAGTTTCATACTGAAGCTTCAGAACTGCTGATTTAAAGTTGTCAGAGATTAACCTGGAATTTGGGATTTAGAGAAGGTTAACAATGTGCCTCCAGTTTCAAACTGTAAGAAAACAGTACTACTAAGAATGAACACACCAACGTGATTTAAGCTGTTGATACTTCATTTTATGTAACCCAGCTTCAATATTGCTGTCATCTGGAGATCATTAAGTGTACAACCCAAATTAAACAAGCTTTCCACTGTGGTTGTTGTTTGTGCAACTGATTAGTGACAGCAGCAGTGTGTAGATAAACAGTGGCAGAAACTGCTTGTGTTTAAAGCACTATTACATTGATCTGCTAAATATGGCAGTTGGCAAAAATGTTCACTTACATTTGTCCAAACTAATTCTGTAATTTATTAGAGAGCGTTTGTGTTGCCTAACTGGTCAGCTTGAGTGCCGGCCCTTTAAGGTCAGTTAATAATCCACTGCTTAAAGGGCTTCCATTCCTTCTCCCAAGTAACATTCATACATGTTATCAACACTGGTTGGTTGACATTTATAATGCCACAGCAGGTGATGTTAGAAAGTCCAATGAACAGATAACCTCATAGGATTTGCTACTCAAAACTGTATTTACAGAGAATCTTCTAAAATAATTGCTTGGAAAAATGGTACATATAAAGGGGACTTAGCATCATGTGGAACATAGGTTTGTGTCTCCTAAGGTTTTTCCTATGCAAGAACAGGCTTGATCTAGCCAAAACAGGATGAAATTTCTCACATGCAAAACAAAGAGGTTGAGGTTACTGGGCGAGTTTTGTTTAGAGTTTGAGAAGGCAGGCAGCCGGGTGCCAAGCAGCATGCTGGGAATGGCATTTCTGAAGCTGGTGTCAAGAAAAGCAGTCTGAAGATAAAATAGTTAAAAATTATATTGAAAAGATGAGGCACCTGAGCAAGTAAGTCCCATTTAAAGAGGAAAAAAAAATGTATTTATTGTATATGGTGCCTCTGTATAAATGCTGTAGGTCTTGGGGAAAAGGAGAAAATAAATAAAAGAACCAGAATACCTAGTTTTAAAGAAGCATTCAAACACAATAGAGGTATCACAAATGTGGAAAATAAGAACATGTTGCTTTTAATGGAAAATGCAGAGGATTTTGCTATTGGACATACAATA